GGGGGTGGAGGTGCGCCTGCTAAACTTGTGGGTTGCACAAAGAGGTGGGGGTGGAGGTGGTGTGGAGGTGGCGTCGGGACTTGGGAGGGGGAGGGGCACCCTGCCCCTGCTGCCACGCCCGACCATCTTTCGGGATCTCGCCGCTCCCGCTGCCAACGCTGCCAATGCCCCCACCCGGCCGCCCCTGCTCCCCGCCCCACGCCCGCCCCGTGCCGCAGAAGAGCGGCGGGTGCAACCACCTGACCTGCCGCCAGTGCGGGCACCACTTCTGCTGGGCCTGCGGCCGCGACTGGGCGCACCACTCAACTGAGACCGGCGGCTTCTATCACTGCTCCCTGGCAGCCGCCGGCGGCGGCACAGACGGCCTGCCAGAGTACAGCGGCAACGCGGGCAGCGCGGGCGGCGGGCTGGCGGGGCCGCTGGCGTGGGTGGCGGGTGCGTGGGCGTCGCTGCGCCTGGCGGCGCAGCAGCACCAGCTGCAGCGCCACCTGCGCCAGTTCCTGCGCCACGCGGGCGGCGGCGGCGCGCTGCGCGGCGCGGCGGCCCACATGCAGCTGCTGCTGGGCGGCGCCGGCATGCTGGGGCAGGCGGGCGCTGGCGCCAAGGCAGCTCAGGCAGCCCCAGCCGGCCCCCAGCTGCTGGGCGTGAGCCCCTCAGATGCCGGCCGCATGAGCGGCGTGGAGTGGGGAGACCTGGTAGCGGCGGCGGCGGCCTCGGCGGCGGACGCCGTCCCGCCCGCGTCCCTCGCCCTGCCGGCCGCCAAGGCCGGGGCCGAGGCGGCGCTGGCAGCAGCGGTCGCCGGCCCTGCACGCGTGACTGCCGCCGCCAGCAGTACCACCAACAGTACCAACAGCAGTACCACCGCCACGAGCAGTTATACCGCCACCACCGCCACCAGCGGCGGTTCAGGCAGCGAGGCCGCCTACCTGCTGCAGCTGGCAGAGGCGGTGGCGGCGGCCCGCTCCCTGCTGCAGCACTCGGCCGTGGCGATGTACCAGCTGCCCTCGGGGCCCCCCCGCCGCCACCTGCAGCACCTGGCCGCCAGCCTGCAGCGGCGGCTGGAGCAGCTGGAGCCGCTGCTGCTGGCGCTGCCGGAGAGGGAGGGCATCCCGGCGCTGGACCACAGGCGGGACGAGCAGCACGGCACGGAGCATGGCGGTACCGGCGGTACCGGCATTACCGGCGGCGGCGGCGGGCTCACCGGCTGGCTGCTGTCCCGCCTGTACGGCGTGGAGCCTCCCGCCGCCACGGCGCCGCCGCCCGGCGCCCCCGAGCGCCACCCCGCCCTGGCGGCCCTGCCCGGCGACGTGCTCCTGCAGCAGCTGCACTTTGCGGCGGCGGTGCACCAGCAGCGGGCGGCGGTGCGGGCTGGCGTGGCCGCGCTGCATCGCGACATGCGCCAGATGGTGGCCGCCGCGCGCGCGGGCCTGTACGCCTGAGCGGCGGTGCACCTGAGCACGTGCTGAGTGCCGCGCGTTGCCCGGGCTGCGTTCGTTCTTCCATTTTCCCAGCAGGGTCTGCAGTGGTGCCCGATTTTCTGCGATTTTCTGACAGTCTGTACATTACAGGTCTGGTGCTTCCCCTCTCTGTACATAATTTCAAGCATCTGACCTAACTTCAGCTGTAAATGCGGCATGCCAAGTATAGCAGAGAACGTGCCTCCAGAATCTTGCTGCCCCTGCTGCCAGCTGTTGGCTGGGAGCCCCCACCCTTGAAGCCCATTGGTCCTGCTGGCTGCCCATCAGTCCTGCTTCTCGCCTGCCAGCTCAGCGACAGCCGGGGGGCGGGCGCGGCGCATGCCCGCCAGCAGACCCACAGCGCAGGCGAGGGTCGCGGCCGTCCAGGTGCCCAGAATGATTGGCAGCATCCAGCCGCCGTGGCGCACTGCGGAAGGCAGCGCAAGGCAACAAGGCACAGCACCATTGGCCTACATGGCGCCCCGAAACCAGATTGCTCTGTGGCTCTGGCAATGGCAGGCCCGTGCTGCTTCCAGCGCTGTGGCGCCGCTTGCTCACCCGACAGGATGGGCAGCAGCACGGCCATGTGCACCAGCCCCGCCAGCAGCATGCCGCCGTTGAGCATGCGGGCGGCGCGGGACCCCAGGGCGCCCCTCTCGCAAGCATCCTGCACGAACAGGCGCTGCTGGGCTGTCAGCCACAGCCTGTTCGAGCTCGGCTTAGCGCCCCCGCCCTGCCGCGAATCGAGGCAGCTCTCTCAAGGCGGCAAGGTGCCGCCTGCCACGGCGGCTGTCGCCTCGCATCCCGCGCCGCAAAGCAAGCCGTGCTGCGGTTGAGCGGACTGCGCATCACAGAAGGCGGGCTGCAGCCAAGGTTGCGGTATGGAGGCCTGGAGGTTGGGAGCCAGGGCCCCACCTTGAGCACCAGCTGGGTGGCGGGGATGAGCGCCTTGTCAGCTGTGCCTGCCGTCTTGGCCAGGAGGAAAGTGGAGGCGCCGTAAGCGTAGCCCAGCAGGTGGCGCAGGGCGAACTTGGGTGCGTAGAACAGGGCAAAGCCGGCGGCGGGGAACAGCACCAGCGCCAGCGCGAGGTGCGCAGCCGCCAGCGGCGAGCGCGGCGCGGCGGACAGGCGGCGCCAGAGGTCGGAGCCCAGGCCCTGCGCCGGCAGCAGAGGGGGGCGCACCCCGTTGCCTTGGTGCAGTACAGGTGCAGTACAAGGGCCAGGTGCAGTACAGAGCAACTGGCCCTTTTCCCATCTAAATTTTCTGCAGAGGGCATGCACAGGCCACGTCCAGCGGCCAGCGCTCGGCCTCGCGTGTGCTCACCCTCAGCCTGCCGTTCAGCAGGAGGTCGGCGGCAGGCACCGCCAGGGTGACGCCGCCGGCGGCCAGCTGCAGGAGCATGCCCAGCAGTGGGGACAGGGTGGCGCCGTAGTAGAGAGCAGACAGGGTGTCGGCCAGGCCCTGCCCAGCCAGCGCCAGCCTCAGCAGGTCTGCGGGAGCAGCGGCGGTGGCGGCGGCAGGGAGCATGTCAGCAGGCGCTAGCCAGGCGGGCAAGCAACTATCAATAATCGGTACGTCGAGAAGCGCAACGGCCTGCCACCCCGTCGTCAGTCCCGGCCCTGCCTGGGACGCACCTGCGCCACGGGCGCCCAGCGCCTCCTGCCCAGCGCCCCCGCCCGCCAGCGCCAGCGCGGAGGTGGCGGCAGCGGCCACCAGCAGCGCGCCGCCGTTGAGCTGGAGCATGTGGCGATGCTGGTCGTCCAGGGGGTGGGCAGAGCTGCCAAACAGAAGCTTGGTGACCTGCAGGGCAGGGTTGAGCGGACGGAAAAGAGGATCGTGGAGGCGAAGCGGGTGCTCCTGCTGCCGGGAAGGTGCTGACGTGGCGCTGCGGCACGGCGGGCGGCCGAGAGTGCACGCACCAGGCCGGGAGCCAGCAGGCAGGCCAGCGCCATGCCCACATACGCCGCGCTGAGGGCTCGGTAGGCGGATGGCCAGGCGTCGGCGGTGGCGCCCTCGGCCTGTGCAGGCTGTGGAGGCTGCGGAGCGACGGCAGCGCCGGTGGGCGTGGGGGGCGCCAGCTCCGCGGCGATGCCGGCGCCGGCTTCGGCTCCCGCGCCGGCGCTCGGGCCTTGTTTCAGGCCTGGGTCGGGCAAGGCCTGGCCCTGCTCCTCACGAGGCTCTGCGGCCTGCAGGCCAGGGTCTTCCATTGCAGGAGAGCGGTCCAAGGTGGCTCAGGGGGTGGCTGACGGCCTTGGAGTGGGCTACAGAGCTTCAGGTGTGCAGCAGCTGACTGCGAGGTCCCTGTGCAGAGGTTCTCCCCTCCTCCTTTCCACCTTGGCGATTTGAACGTGGGACATTTCTGCTGGTGTGAGGCATCGACTAATGACTGGCAGGCACCTGGGTGGCGCTGGCGACCAGGTTGCCCACTGGGGACTGGCAGACGGGAGCGGCAGCGACGGCGTGCGAGGCGGTGAGGAGCCGCCGGCGTGCGGGTGATCATGAACGGCTGACCATACAGCATGAACAGTGCACAGGACGCGCCAGGGATGCTCCCAAACTCGGTGCTCTGTGCTTCTCTTACCATGCCTGCCGCCTCCAGCTGGAACCTTGGCGGCCGCCGCGCTGCGGGCTGACCTTCCATGGGAAAGCGCCGCCTCGCTGCATTTCTTCATCCCCTCCGCTCCTCTCCTCCTCATTCCTTCTACTTTGCTCAGATCCATCCACGCACACTGCTGTCTGCTGCTTCCCTCGTGATGAGTGGCCGGCTCCTATGCCTGGCGATCGCGGCCCTGTGCCTCGCTCATTGGGCGCGGGGCGAGCTGGTGACCAGCTCCACCGTCCCCGAGACGCAGTGCCGCGGCGATGAGCAGCCGGGGACCTACTGCTTCGTGGCCTCGTCGACCTTTCCCCGCCTGTGCGACTGCGTGAGGAACGTCTGCCCCAGCGCCTCCATCGCGGAAACCACCAACTGCTTCATATGCGACAGAGGTGGGCGGAGCCGCCGGCGGTCCCTTCCAGCGCCGCCGGGATGTGGTTCAGACGATGCATGGCCGAGGCGCCGCCGCCCAGCATGCCCCGCCCCCAGGCCCCAGTGTGCCCCTCCCTTGCCCGCAGGCTACGGCACCTACTCCACGGAGGAGGAGTGCATGGCCAGTGAGGCTGAGGTGCAGGCCACGGGCATCGACCGCGCCTCGTACCCAGCACCCACCTTCCCGCCCACCGCCTGCCCCGCCAAGTCGCGCGCCTCCGGCACCGTGAGCGGGCCTGCGCCCGCTGCGCCTGCGCTCCTGCTGTGCCCGCAGACGCCTAGGCTGACTGGGGTGCTTGGAGCAGCAACGCGAGCCCGACAAGCGTTGCTGGGGCAGGTCCGCCTGTCTGCGCCGCCGCCGAGGTCTCCCCCTGCCCGCCCCCGTCCTTGCACGCAGGAGCAGCGCAGCGCGTGCCCCTTCCAGCAGCCAGGGCTGAAGAACTGGAACGACCCCGCCACCTGGGGAGGCCGGCTGCCCTCGGTAAGACATGCCGCCAGGCAGCTCCCCAGCGGCAAAGCCCACCATCATGCCTTGCTTGCCAGCACCCATCAGCAGGGCGCTGCCGCGCGCTGCCAGCCACCCGCTGCTCACCGCCGTGGCCCCCTGTGCCGTCGCTCCCCCTTCCCCCCTGCCTCCCCCGCAGCCTTCCAGCACAATCACGCTGCCGGCCAACACCAAGGTTCTGCTGGCGGCCTGCATGCTGCAGCAGGGCGCCATGTACCGCCAGATCGTGATCCCCGCCGGCTCAGAGGTGTGTGCAGCCAGGGCAGCGCAGGCCTCTTGCCGCGGCCGCTATGGCCGAGCCTGAGCCGGGCAGCACCCAGCTTTGCTTGTGGAGGATGCTGGGCGCCCGACACATGCTGGCAGCCTGCGGCAGGGGGTTGGGGCACGCCTCCTGCCCGCGCCCGCCGTCCCTCACACAGCCTTGCCTCCCTTGCATCAACTCCCCCGCCCCATGTGCCTCCTCCCCTCCCCCTCCCCCTTCCCCTACCTTCCCCGCTCCCCCACCCCTCCCCCTACCAGCTCATCCTGGCCGACGAAGACATGGCGCTGGAGGTGGGATCCATCCTGGTCAGCGGAGCGCTGCGCGCCGGCGGCCCCGACTGCCGCCTCGCCGCCCGCCTCACCCTCACCTTCCGCTCCCTGCCCGGCATCGACCCGCTCAACATGGTGGGAGAGGGTTGGGCGGCAGCGGGGGGGCAGCCTTTGCAGCAGGGCAGCAGAGGCGTGCATGCACGGCAGCAGCAGAGAGGCAGCGGGCATGGCAGCAGCAGAGAGGCAGCGGGCATGGCAGCGGCCCGGCGGAGCGGCCCACCCCTGCTCTTCTCGCCGTGCCCTGCTCCCACCTGCTCGGCCGCCCGCGCAGGCGCTGTGGGTGACCAAGGGCGGCACTCTGGACCTGCACGGCAAGCTGTTTGCGCCCACGTGGACCCGCCTGGCCAAGGTGGGGCGCCGCCGCCGCCGCCGCCACCGCCGCCGTCGTGCTGCTGCCGCCACGGCACAGGGGCGCAGCCCACCCTCAGTCCAGCCTCCCCACGCGGTTGCGCATCCACTCCACAGTCGCCGCTCGGCCGCTCACCCCCCATGCATGCAGACCGCGGTGGGGGGCGCCGCCTCGCTGCAGCTGCAAGACCCGGTCAAGGGCTGGGAGGTGGGGCAGCAGGTGGTGCTGACCACCACCATCTGGAAGGATGAGCAGGTGGGCTACGGGGGCGGGGCGCGCGGCTTGTGGTGGGGCAGGAGGCTGGCATGCAGGGGAGGCAGCTTCACATCGCAGCGCGGCTGCCCTTGGCTGCTCCCTGGGCTGTGCCGGCCCGGCCCCAGCCGCCCGCCAACCTCTCCTCTCCTGCCGTCCCCTCGCCGGCGGCGCGTGCAGGAGAACCAGAACGAAGTGGTGACGGTGGGCGGCGTGTCGCCAGACGGGCGCACGCTGTACCTGGCCGCACCCCTGCAATACCAGCACTACGGGTGAGGCGCGCGCATGGCGGCCGGAACATGCTTCACTTGCTGCCCGCTGGCGGTATGCCCTGCTGCCGAGCAGCACCTGCTGTCGGCCGCCTGCCACCGCGGCACCCCAACCAGCCGTCTGACCCTCCGCTCTGTCCTGTACCGCTTTGTCCTGTACCACGTACCGCCCCGCAGCGGCCCCGAGTACCAGGCCGAGGTGGGCCTGCTGTCCCGCAACATCCTCATCCAGGGAGACGCCGCCGCCGAGCGCTCCCGCCGCGGCCCGCACGTGCGGGTGGAGGGCGCGGCGCGCATCCGCGGCGTACAGGCCTTCCGCGTGGGCCAGGTGGGGTGGGCGGCGCCCGGGGGCCGGGCCGGGCGTGGAGAGCGGCGGCCTGGGCACCCGAGGCTCCTCGCCTTGTGGGAGTGTCGCGCTGCCAGCATAGGCCCCGGCTGCCGATGCCCTGTGCTCGCCTGAGGTGGTGCCTGCTGCCAGCTTTCCCCTTACAGCTCTGCTCTGCTCCCCGGCTCCCCGCCTGCCGCCCCCTGGCGCCCGCGCAGACCAACGTGCTGGGCACCTACCCCTTCCACTGGCACCTGGTGGGCGACGCCAGCGGCCAGGTGGCCACAGACAACTCCGTGTACAGGTGGGGTGGGGTGGGGGGTGGGGTGGCAAGAGGCAGGCAGGCAGGGCAGGGCAGGGCAGGGTAGGGCAGGGCAGGCAGGCAGGCATTGCGCTTGGCGCAGGCAGGCAGGCAGGCAGTGCACTTGGCGGTGCACAGGCAGTTTTTTTTAGCAGCAGGGGGAGGCGGGCAGGCAGCGAGGCGCTGCCCTTGGGCAGCACGTCACAGGCCTGGAGAGGTCTGCGCCACCAGCGCCGCCACCTGCCTTGGCCCGCGGCCCCTGGCCCTTCCGCCGCAGGTCCTTCTACCGCTGCCTCACCATCCACGGCACCAACAACCTGCTGGTCCAGAACAACGTGGGCTTCGACATCACGGGCCACTGCTTCTATATCGAGGTGTGTGTGTGTGTGTGTGGGCGGGGGGGTCGCGGCACAGCTGGTGTTGGGAGCAGGCTGGATGGGCCGCCCACCACGCCGCGGGCGCCGCCCTCGCCGCGGCATGCTGTGGGCATCACCACCTGGGCGAAAGAACAGCCGCGCTGCGCCGCTCTCCATAGCTGTTATGCCGTGCCTGCCTGCCTGCCTGCCTGGGCGCAGGACGGGGTGGAGGAGTACAACACGCTGGACCACAACCTGGCGGCGCATGTACACGTCATCGGCCAGGTCGGTGCCAGCGGGGTGCCAGCGGGGCGCCAGCGGGGTGCCGCGCCGCCGCTCCCTGCCCACGCGGCCGTGCAGTGCAGATGCTGCCTGCCCAGCGCCTGCCACACGTCTGGACAACCGACGCCTGGCGCCTGCCTCCAGGGCTGCCTGGTCACCCACCCTGCTTCGCTCCCCACCCCGCCACCGCCATGCAGCCAGCGGCCGGCTACGGCCAGTCGGGCCAGACGTTTGCGGCCAGCGCCAGCCAGCCGCAACCCTCTGACGCCGCCGCCTCTGGCTTCTACGTGTCCAACCCCAACAACCGCCTCACCAGCAACGCAGCCTCGGGGGGCTACTCGGGTGCGGGCCGGGCGGGGCAGGGGCGGCCCAGCAGGCTGTGTGGCCAGGCTGCTGGCTGTGTCAGGGGAAGCTGGCTGGCACGCCCTTCCATGGAAGCACCATGGTGCCCGCTCGCCTCCCCGCCCCAGCCACCCAACCCCTCCGACCCCCCACCAACATCCCCACCCCCACCACCCTCTCTGCCAGGCTTCATCTACCCCGTGCTGCCCAAGCCCATCGGCCCTTCCCGCGGCGCCGCCATCGTGCCCGCCTCCCGCCCCATGCTGCGCTTCGACGGCAACACCGCCCACAGCAGCGGCTACATGTGGTGCGCGCCGCCGCGGCTCGCCTACACCGCCCGCTCCCAGCCAGCCACACCTGATGCCGCCGCGCCCGCCAGACCCGCCTGCCCTGCCTGCCACCCGGCCGCGCCGCTCACCCGCCGCGCAGGTTCCAGGCGGGATGCCTGTACTTTGGTGGCCGGGTGTATGAGGACCCTAAGCAGGGCAACCGCCTGTACTACAACGGAGGCCGCCACGAGTTCACCACCATGTGGGGCCGCTGGGGGAGGCTGGGCAGGCGGGCAGGGTGCAGCAGCAGCTCGGGGCTCCCCGCCAGCACGGCTGCCGCCTGCCCCGACATTGCCCACGCTTGCCCTGCCACGTCCGTCCCGCCTGGTACCGCAGGGACGCCGCCGGCAGGTCCCCCTCCTTCTTCCAGCTCACCAACACCAAGGTCTTCCTGTGCATGGTGGGTGCTCTGCCGGCCTCCCTGCCCACCCTGCTTCCACCTGCGCAGCGCCATTGGGGATGTTCTGCTGCTTGCCCAGCGGGTAGCCAGCCACTCACCTTCATCCCAGCAGCTGCCAGCGGCCTCATGCCCCGCCTTCCCCCCTGCGTGCCTGCCTGCACCGCAGGTGGGCCACATGAGCTGGGGCCAGCGCTTTGAGGTGGTCAACTACCAGGCCTACGACATTGGTGAGCCAGCCGCATGTGGCGTGTGTGTGGCGGGCTGGCCGGCCAACCACCTGCCCAGGAAGATGAGAGCCACCTGCTGCGGAGGGATGCTCGGCAGCAACCGCCTGCACGCCCTCCTCCCCGTCCACACGCCCACACACACACCACCGCCGCCGGCCACTCAAGCGCAACAGCCCCGCAACCCCTTATGCACACGCAGTGCGTGGCGCCACGCTGTTTGGCCAGGGCCTGCTGCAGAACGCGTACATCAACGTGCAGTCCGCCAACCAGCGCTCGCAGTTCCCCGGCCGCCTGGACGACCTGCCGCCCATTGCCGGGTTCCAGGTCGGTGCCAACGCTGCTTTGTGGGCGGGCCTCCTGGCGCCCGCCCCGTGGCTGGGCGCCAACAGGCCGGCCAGCCCCTGCTGCCTGCTGCGGCTCCCAGTCACCCAGTCAACCCCTGTACTGCTCCCTGCACTGCCTTGTACTGCTGTACCGTGGTACTGCAGTGGTACGACACCCGCACCATGACCATCATCAAGGACGCCACCTTTGCAAACTACAAGTGGCAGCCGCAGCTCGGCTTCCACCGCATGTCCGTCTTCTACGTGAGCGAGGCACCCTTGCACAGCTGTGCTGCTATATGTACTGCTATACCGCTGCGGTGGTGGCGGTACCTGCGGCTGACGCTGTGGCCCAGGCTGTGCTGTTGCTGCCGAGGGCGAAGTGCCTCTGGCGCAACTGGCGCTCATCGCTGTGCGCCGCCGCTGCTGCGCCGGTCCTGCGTGCCGCTGCCTGCAGAGCATGACGCACAGCGACGAGTTCAAGCCCATGGTGAGCTGCTGGCTGGCCGAGGCTGCACTCCGCCGGCGCGCAGGCTTTCCATGGGGGCTGGGCGTTCGCCTGCACCTGTATGTGTGCCTGCCGGCACACCCCCACCCCCATGCCGCCTGCGCTTGCCGTGGGCATGCAGGGCATGAGCAGCACCCAGAACGTGACCCTGGTCAACGTGGACCACCAGGCCATCGCGCGGGTGGACGTGCGCGAGACGGGTACGCAGCGCATGGGAGGTGGAAGGAGGCAGCCTGGGGCTGCCCTGGCCTCGTCTTGCCCCCTGGTGACTCTCCAGGCCACTGGCTGGCTGCCGCACTCCGCTTCCCGCTGCTTCTTCACGTCCACACCCTGCCTATCCCCCCCGCCATCCCCGCACACAAACAGCCCCGCCCCCGCCCCCCTGCAGGCTCCTCCCGCATGTTCAACTGGATGGACTACGACGGCAGCGCCTCGCAGCGCACCGGCCCCTCCATCGTCGGCTCCTGGCCCACCTGGTGGCAGCTGGCGCCCGACTGCGCCTTTGAGGTGTGTGTGTGTGGGGGGGGGGGGGGGA